CATCATGGAACTGTTAATCAAAACTACCTTGAGATTTCATCTAACTCTGGTCAGAAAGGCTAAAATCAATAAAACAGGTGGCATTTCACGATGATTAGAATGCTGGTGAGATTGCAAACTTGTGCAGCAACTACAAAAATTAGTGTGTCCATTTCTCAGGGGGATGGGAATCTCTCTACCTAAAAATCCATCTATAGCTCTCTTGGTCATATACCCAAAGTATGCATCATCCTACCACAGAACATGCTTAATTATGTTCATTGCTACTCTATTCATAATAGCCAGGCGCTAGCAACAACCTAGATATCACTCAACAAAAGAATGGATAAAGAAAATGTGATACCATTCCTGCCCTTTGGCCTCCCTATGTGGCCAGGGTAGGGTGTCTTCTGGTGAGGTTCTGAACTGAGGCTAGGGTTTTGATTGTTGTATCTATTCCTTACCACACACTGCAGAGTGCAGCCAGGCAGGCAGGGAGCAGGCATAGCTCTGCTCTGCCATTTGTCTTCCTAGTTGAAACTCCTGCCTATAAAGAGCTTGTTCTTCATGTTTCTAGCACTTTATGAAGAATAAAAAGTTTGTGTACTGCATTTAAAAAGAAAAAGGAAAAAGAAAGAAAACGTGGCACATTTACACTAAAAATATTACTCAGTTAAAAAGAATAAAATTAAACTTATAGGTGAATGGATGGAACTAGAAAAAAAAATCATCCTGAGTGAGGTAACCCAGTCCCAGAAAGACAAATATGGTATGTTTTCACTTATATTCTTAAGCCAATGAAAACTTAGCTACAATCCATAGAACTACAGAGGTTAGAGTAAAGAATGAGGGGGAGAGATAAATCTCCTTAGGAAAGGGAACTAGAACAAATAGTTATGGATAGATGGTGAGCAGCTAGAACAGGAGAATCAAGTAGGAAATGGAAAGGACAAAAGGGAGACGGGCTGGAGTACTGGTAGAGATAACTAAAATTAAGGGCCATTTGAGTAGTAATATGGGAACATAGAAGAAGCTTCTTAAAATGGATACACATTTGAAGGTGGTCTAAATGAAATCACCAAATAATGGGAGAGACAGAGTTCCAAATGAACAACTCCTGTCACCAAATTTAACAGTCTGGGTTGAATCTAATTGACTTTTTGGCCAAGGTGGTCCTATGGGAACCCCAAAACAACCCGGGCTATTTTCAAGGTTATTGGTTGCTCTAAACAAACTTATGGCAAAACCCTGTTCCTGAAAATAGAACCTTCACAAGTCATTGATGACAGGGGTGTTGAGTGGGTACCTACATATACCCTTCATCACTCTATGCTAGTGTCTTTGATACAGAAAAATACTTTGCACACTACCAAAGAGAAATGTAAATACCAACCCAGCCACAAATCCGTTGATGTACAATGGTGCCTGCCTGCAGAATGTGCAAGTGCAATGGGCGTTGCAAAGATTTTGGGAATAACCAGTCAATATCTAATTTAACTGAAAGCCACTCCACAAGATGGAACCCATACCTACTACTGCTTGGGTGAGCAAGAACCTGAGACTAGATAGCTCAGGGACCTAGGTAGGGGTAAACCTAATAATACTGTTCTTTTAAAATAATGATGATGGTGGTGATGATGATGATGACATAGCCATCAGTAAAATGGCTTCTAATGATATCTGCTACACTCATAGATCAGTGCCTTGCTCAGCTGTTATCAGAGAAGCTTCCTTTTTCCGGAGATAAGAACAAATACAGACGCTATGTAGAAAGTGAGAGGACTTGAAAAATTCAAACTACACAAGGCCTCTCCTTCAAATTTCTCTCTCCCCTTAGGACTCAGGGTACCCTTTGGTAGAGGAGGAAAAAAGACTGTAGCCAGAAGGGATGGAAGACACCAGGAAAACTTGGCCTACTAAATCAACTGTATCAAACCACATATGAATTAATAGAAACTGAGTCAGCATGCACAAGGCCTGAATGGGCCTGCACCAGTTCCTCTGCATATAAACTATGACTGAAAAGCTAATATTTTCCTGGGATTCCTGAGTCTGTAAAAGAGTGGGTCTCTATGCCTTCTCTTGCTCTCTTTTCTGTCTGTTTGTTTTGTCCAATTCCAATGTGTTGTTTTCTATTTTATCTTATTGTATTTTACTTTTTTATTTTATTATTCCTTTACATCTGTTTTCTAATGAGAGACAGAAAAGAAGTAGACTGAGATGGGAGGAGAGTATGGAAGAACTAGAAAGTGTAGAGGGAGGGAAAATTGTTATTAGGATATATTTTGTGAGAAAAAAAATTTCAGACAAAAAAAGTAAACAACAACAAATGCTGGCCAGGATATGGGGAAATAAAAACTTTTATTTCTTCATGGTTGATGGGAGCACAAACTAATACAGCTATTATGGAAATTACTGTGGAAGTTTCTTAACTACACAAACAAAACAACAAGAATTAGATCTGCCATATACCCAGCTATATCAGTCTTGAAAATATACCAAAAGGACTCTAAATCCTATCACAGAGATATTCATTTGCTCATTTTTGCTCATTCCTACTCTATTCACCTTAGCAAGCAAATGGAAACAGTCTAGATGCCCATCAATTGATTAATAAGCAGTGAGAATATGATACATATACACAGTAGAATTTTATTCAGCTATAAAGAACAGTAAAACTATGATATTTTCATGCCTACAGGTGAATCTGGAAAACATAATGATAGTGTTATGCCCAGTTTGTGGGACCCCCACAAAGACTACCAGGAATTGACTCCTCTGCAAATACATGAGGTTTTATTGTATACGTGCTTGAGCCACAGGTTGCAAAAGCTTCCTGCAGAAGCAGAAAAGGAATTCGGCCCCACAGTCTAGGAGAACAAGGTTTTTAAAGGGAAAAAAATGCAAGCATGGAGTTACATGCCTTGGCATTACATGATTGGGTAAGGGAACTCGACTTTTGAAATGATTGGTTTACTGTAACTATAATTGGTTCTGGCCAGGCCATCTGGGCTGGTTTCCTAGCAACTGTACCTCTAGTGGGCAGGAAAAGAATGTGGTAAAGCTAGTTCCTTTCCCCAGGTGGCTGGATATGTCTACACCTGGCTGGCCTTCGTTCAGGCTTGTGCTTTAAACTTTAAACCAATTCCCAAAATTCTTTGGCCTCTCAATAGATATATCCCAGACTCAGAAAGACAAACACCACATGTTCTTTCTCATATATAGATTCTAGCATTGAATCTTTAGATTTGAGTCATTTACTTGGAATAACCAAAGAAACCAGGAAACTAGAGAAGAGTCACTCTAGGGAAGGAAGAAAGGTCTTAAGGAAGGATAATGTAGTTGATTTTAATGTCAATTGGCCTCAAATTAGAATCACTTGATAAGGAGCCTCACCTCAGGAAGTGTTCTGATTGTCTTTATGGCTGTTGGAAGATCCACCCAGATAAAAAGGGGAAGATCACTTGCTTGTGCTAGCTTGGCCCTCTCTCTTACTGGAGGAGAGTGGGGGTGATTCACCTTGTCAATGCTGTTGATTCCACCACTGATATCAGAACAAGCATTTCTAGTAATCCATCCTGGTCTTCTGATCAGTGACTCTCTAGGAAGCTTCCAGGTTTTCTGTGACAGTTGGGACTCCTGGTACCTTGTGGTCTGAGCAACTATGTGGTTTTTGGCCTGCCTAGTGAGAGACAGCCATTGTGGGACTACTCTAACTGCAGAGCCACCCTGTCTCAAGTACTGAGCAACTAGAGGATTCTTTTTTTTTTAACTTTTTAAAAATTTTTTATTAATTACACTTTATTCATTTTTTTAAAAAGAACAGAATGTGGTGGTTATGTGGAGAACTGGAATAATCTAGTAAGTATGATGGTGTCTGTGGCCAGCGAAAGTTTGACATGACTGTAATCAAACCTGAGAATAAGGAGTTACGAGAGTGCTCAGAAGCAAGAACCACATCATCTCACTTCAAGAGGAAATTTCAATTGAAGAATTGCCTTCATCAGATTGGCCTGTTCAACTGTCTGTGGGGCATTTTCTAGATTGATAATTGATGTAGGAGGGCCCAGTGTTGTAGATGTAAACATGTTTTTTGTTTGATCCCAGATGTAGGATATGGGACTGATTCAGATTGTCCCCAGCAGAAAATTATTTGCCTTATGCAGGCTCTGAGAAGAGCTCTTTGCCAGCTGTAGTTTAATTCTGCAGACTCTAAGAGGGAAGCCAAAGTCCAGAGAGAGCAGGGAGCTTTGAAAAAGAAGAAGGCTGCCTGTGTCCATCCCTGTTGCTCTTGGTTGCTGTCGACGCAGTTTGATGAAAAGTCAGCGATATCCTGAAATGAAGATTGGACTTGTCTCAAGAAACCCAACAACCCTAACCAGCAGAAAGTAGCCTCAGAGAACTCTGTCCCTTTTCCCCACTAACCTTTTTCTCTCATACCTAATAATGTTGGAAAGCATTAGAGAAGAAAGAAAGATAAAAAAGTGTAAATAAAATAGATTTAAAAATATGTCAACAACCCAGCCCTAGGGATGGCCATGAGTGCCATCCCTAGGAAGGTGGTCCTAAGTTAAGTGGGAAAGCAGGGTGAACAAGCCGCCATGAAGAACAAACCAGTCAACAGTGTTCCTTCACAGTCTCTATTTCAGTTCCTGCCTTGGCTTCCCTTGATGATGGAGTGTAACCTGCCAGGTAAATCAATCCTTTCTTCTCCCGAGTTGTATTTGGTTAGTATTTAATCACATGAGCAGAAAAACAAACTAAGACAATGTACAAATTCTTTCTTAGGAACTGTGATACCAAACTCAGTATTGTGAAAATGGCTACTTATGCTGAAACATCCCTCTTATTATATGACTTTTTCTGGGAAGAGACCAGATAGAGCAGCGATGACAAGCTAAAGAAGTGTTCCACTCATATCCAGTTTAATGATCCAGTGAGTTTATTAGGGTTTCTTAGAACTTTTTATTGCCCTCTGCCAGCCCCTACTGAATGACTCTCTGAGGAGAACTTTGGCATCTTCAGTCAGTGTCAAGGAAATGAAATTGCAAGCAAAAGACTTTCCTAAAGTAAAGACCTGTTGCCAGGAGCCCACCATTAACTGAGGCAAATATCTCCAAATATTTCAAAAGCTTTTCTGCTAACGTTTCATCTTTCTTAGTTTGCAACAAATAAGGAGATTTAATGATTTTTTTCAGTTTTTCGACAGGCACTTGCAAATTCTTAGCCATGAATTCCAGGGATTCATCATCCACTCCAAAGAGGTCTCGATAGCGGTTTAAACTCTTCTTCAGCTTCTCCACATCATTTTCTCTGAAGATGCCTACTAAAGGAACAGATGCCAAAACTCCAGCTTTGATGGCTTCCAGCCAGATAAACTGCTGCATAGACTTGTGCTTTTCGTCAATGGCTGCCTCTGAAATATTGGGCAAGGAAAGCATAAAATTATGGCGCTTTTGAGCAGGAAGATCTTTAATCAGGGTGTTGATCAGGGCTGGAAAATCATAGTCATGTAAATGATGGTTAGAGATCAAGAAAACTGGAGGTACATCCATGTTATTATCACTAAAGGTATTCACAGAGTAGCTTCGGATCTGCTCCAGGGTCTTTTCTCTGTTAAAGGTGCGTGGTTTGGATTTCTTTTCATTTCTTAAATCAATATCCACCTTTGTCCTCACAAAGTAGTAGTTCTTTTTCATAATTCTGATTGCTTTGGCGAGGCCTAATTCATGTTTTGTAAAACGATTGGCAGAAACAATAATGAAGAAGTCATATTCTTTGAATTTCACTTTCTCCAGATAAACTTTTGGTGGAAATTTCAGAGTTCCAATACCAGGCAGGTCCCATAAATTCAAAGTTTTGATTTTGGGGTGTTTGTAAGGAGTTCTTTTCATGGTTGTCTCTACTACTCCAATTTCAGCTGCACCTTTCTCCTCATCTCCAACCCCTCTCAAGGCATTGATGAAGCTAGACTTCCCTGCTCCAGACTCTCCTGTCACAGCAACATTTATTGGGACACTCTCAATATTTTCTAATGCATCAGTGATTACAGAGTATACCCCCTGAATGTTGCCTTTTTTCAGTTGTAACTCAATTAAACTGATTGTTTCAGGAGAAATGATTTTGCTTTCTGTATTAATATTCTTAAAATATTTGTTGAAACTAGACTCCAAATCTTTGTTGTCATCATTTTCAGATGTATCAGAGAAGAGCTGACCCATGACTGTGTTGAGAAAAGGATGCTGAAAGAAAGAAGGGAGAATGAGTTGCAAGAGATTGAGGATGCCTTTGTGCTTGGCACTGTGTTCTCTCACTATGCTGTAGCCTTAGTTATGCTCTGATATTGACTAGTTCCCCTATATATTATATAAATATATAATAAACATATTCTACAAGACACAAACTAGAGTTCTTTTGTAGGAGAAAACCCCACTTGAGGAATTATCTTCAGCAAATTGGACTGAGGACCTGTCTATGAACATTTTCTTGATTTGCTATTGATGTTTGAGGACCCAGCCCACTGTGAGTTGTATCATGGCTGTGTAGATGGTCCTAGGTTATTTTTTAAATTTATTTTTTTATAAATTACATTTTATTCACTTTGTATCCCAGCTGTAGCCCCTTCCCTCATCCCCTTCCAATACCACCCTCCCTCCCTCATCTCCTCCCATGTTTCTCCCCGACCCTGGCCTATCAGGTTTCATCAGGACTGGCTTCATTGTCTTCCTTGGTCCTAGGTAATATAAGAAAGCTGGATCAAACTATAAGAAGTCAGCCAGTAATCAGTATTCTCCCAGTGTTCCTACCTCTACTCCTGTTTGAGTTTCTGCCTGACTTCACTCAGTGATGGACTGAGATCAGAATGTAAACCCTCCAAACTGTTTCCCCTTTAAAAATATTTTGTCCACTGTGTTTATCACAGCAGTAGAAAGGAAACTAGAGCAAATTTCTACTCACATTCGATCAAGCCATTAATTAGGGAAAAATTAAAACGTAAGTAAAGAAAAGCAATATTAAAAATCTACATGTGTTCTTTGACTAGCATCAACTCATAAAATCATGAGAAACTGAGCTGCCTCTATCCTGACTGGAGTGTTCTATATGAAATCCAATGTCTCCTCCATCTGTGCACACTCCCTTCAGAGTGTGCCTTCAGATGACTGGGAGCTTAGTCAACAGACAGCTAGTTTCTCAAACTGAAAACTTAGTAAAAATGAATAAAAACTGACATCAGTGCTTAATCAATGCTAAATCTCTAATAATCACATAAATCTTTGTTGTATTTTTGTTTTCAAAAGATTTCAATTAATCCAGCTATTTTATTTGATTGAAATAACTCTTAATTTTTCTGTATTTACTTTCTATTTGACTTTTTCATGAATTTGAACTTATCTCCTTGAAGAATATAAACTTGCAATAATAAAAAAAAACTGCCCTTAAAGTCCACATTAAAATCCATTTATACAATACAGTATTGCAGTATCTTCAAGTCACCATCAAGATTTCCTATTTTCTTTTAAACTTTTTATTTTATCAAAGTAATCTAATTGTGACCACAGATACAGGTCAGTTGGTAAAGTGATTTCCCAGCATGAATAAGGCCTTGGGTTCAATCCCCAGCATCTTATCATATGCATGTGGTCCTGGATCCCTATAATGCTGGGACTCAGGACATAGAGGTAAGAGGATCAGGACCTTGACGTCTTCCTTGGAACATAGTGAGTTAGGGACTAGCCTGGGCTACTTAAGACCCTGTCAGAAAAGAAAAAATATGAAGTCCAGCAAGTTTACTCTGTAGGTAAATACACTTGCTTCCAGATCTAAGAACCTGAGTTTGATTGTGGGGTATGTAATTAGCTCAGATCTCATATTTTGGCCCTTTATTCTCCATAAACCTGCCTGTGAGACCTCCCAAGGCAGCACAATGGACCTCTTCACACTTCAGGAAACAGAAAATCCCTGCTGTCACTGTGAAACTCCTCTTTGTCTCACCCCTATCAAGTCAGTTTGCAAACTTAAGCCCTGTTTCCAAATCTATTCACAACTGATCATTCCTCCTATATTACCTTCTTCCTGACTTCCTTAGTCTTTGATTATGTCATCCACATCACTGTATTTCCTGTGAGTGTTCTTATAACAACATGGATGATCAAACAGCCAGAGTTATCCTGTAGACACTGAAGTCCTATCATGTCAAATCAATTCTGAGAGAAACCAAAAGGATCCCCATTCCACCCCCTCAAGAAATATTCACTAGGTATAAAGTGCACCTGCTACATGTTACGTTCCTTTGAATTTAATTATTATAGTTCTGGAGCCTCTAGTGTCTGAATTGAAGCCACCCTGTTACCTTGTACTTAGTGATTGCTTCCTTTCCTTGTTGCTCTTCCCCAATAGTCACTTGGCTATTAACTTAATCCCCCTTCTCTAGGTTTTTCTTCAATTAGGGTAGGGAGGCTTTAGCATTTATATCTGCATTGGGATGTAAAATTGTATCCGCCCCCATTATTCACCATCCTTTCATTGTGTCTCTGTTTCCCCAATAGCACTTACAGCTACATAATGTGTATTTAATTGGTTGCTGCCATCCTCCCACAGTATAATGAACCTCAGGTATCAGAATGTGCTTTGGTGTTGCTCACTTGTTCACCTCCAGCACACAGGTCTATGGTAGTTTATCACCAGGGAATGAATGGGGAACATGAGGAATGCACTTGGACTTCCTTGTGAACATTTGGGTCATTTCTATAATTCAAACTGGTGTATGTGAAACTGAAGTCCTACTACATTCATGTGAGTGGCTGCCAAGAGTCTCAAGAAAGTACAAACCAGTCTAATGCAAAACACGATCTCCTCAGAAAGATATCGTGTGTATGATCACAAGCACATAATACTCTTGCACAGAGAGCTCCTGTCCGATCTACAAGACAAATGGAGACCCCAGTACAGGAAACCAGAGCTTCAGAACTTTGTTCAATCTGACTGTGGGTACATGCCTGGAAAGGGTGGGTAAAGAGAATGTCCTAAAAGAGAAGCTAAGCCTGGTTAAATAAACACCATACCTGGATTCCTGTTAAAGGAAACAGCCTCCCACAGGAAACAGACAGAATCTCCCAGAAAGCACGCATGCTGTTCTCATCATTTCTGTTTTCCCTCTCATTATTTCAGTTCTAGCTCCTGGTTTTTTGATCCAGGCTCCAGTGCAATACCTGTCTGCAAGGTCTTCCCACTGAATATGAACACAGGAGATGAGAAGGCTTCCACACACCAGCATCACACAAGGAAGCCTGCCCAGATGTCAGCTGTCACCAACCCTGACACAGCTCAGGTTCCTCACAGATGCAGAGAAGATGGTTAGCACTCATGCTTTGCAATAAAGAAAACCACAGTGAACACGAGTCTTGAGACAGATTTCCATAGTCACCTCCCTCAGAAGCAGCCTGCAGAAAGACCTCTTCTTCACAGGACCACTTTCTAGGGAATGTAGGGATTACATAGTTGACTCTGAAGTAGGAAGCAAGTTGAGCCCTAGATACAGCAAACCTCACACACTGCAGAGGTTTCCCATCACCTGACAGGTCCACTACAACCATCTCAGGGAGAGGAGTAACGGACAAGCCAATCACCTGGACGTGTTTATCAAAAACAATATTGAAATCATTTCCCGTAGGTCTACCTCAACTTGAACGATTGGCAAACAGCATCTACAAGATCATCCTGTCCATCAAAGCCCTGTAGTTTTCAAACTGAGGATGCTCACTGTGTGGGCATGTTCCTACATGCCTCCTTACCTATCAGCTCTTTAGACAAAAGCTGGTGAAGGTTAGAAGTTAGATCTGAATGCTCCTGACCACTTACGACAAAATCCTGTGTCCACTGGATTCACACACTGTAGTTCACCTGCGGAAAGCACCCTCCACAGTGTGCTCCAGGCTCTTCATGTGATACCCACTTCTGCTTCCACTGTAGGACATATACATGCTTCTGCACACCGCCCCCAGTGTTGACCAATCATGGGAGAGCATGGAGATAGTTGCTTTCCAGAATCTCCTGCATTTCCAAGAAGAGGAAAGTGAAATAAAACTAACAGCTGTCTGTCATTCCATCAATCCTTCATTTCTTGGCAGAAAAAGCCACACAGTCCTAAAATAACCATGGTTAAGTAATGGCATGGGAAAAGATAGAAACACAGAACAAAGCTTACTAGCTACGCTGGAACACAAACCTTGAAAGATAATTTTCCTGATCCATGACTCCACAAATGCAGCCTAAACTGAAGTCACACAGCACACTTTATGGGGTCCTGTGTTGATGCCAATATTTGTGTCACCCAAGACACAACCCTTCTCACCCCCTCTGACTACAACCTTATTTCCTCACAGTTGAAGATTCGTGTTCCTTAATTCTTTTTTGTGTTTTATTAAAAATAGGTTACTTTCTTATAAAACATATTTGGTCATAGTTTCCCTTTCCTCTACTCCTCCAGTTCCTCTTTACCTCCCCTCTGCTCAGGATCCACTCCCTTTCTATCTCTCATAGAAAAAGAAAGGCTCTAATAAAAAATAACCACACATAACAAATAAAATATAATAAGATGAATTAAAAACTTTTATATTGAATTTGGACAAGGTAACCCGAGATTAAGAGTCCCAAAAGCATGCAAAGCAGTCAGAGACTCACTTGTTCTCAAAGTCAGGAGTCTCATAAAAAAATACTTAGCTACTAGTTATCATTTATAGCCAGAGGACCTGGTATAGGTCTATGTAGGCCCTGTGCTTACTGCCTCAGTGCTGGAGTCCAGTCCTGGATGAGAGAAGGTTTGAAGGGCCTCTATATCATGCTTACTAACATAATTTATTAATAATCTAACTGTAAATCTAAATAGATTCTATGGAAGACTCAATTTTCTGCATAGCTGTTTTTCCCAGGGGACGATTGTTAGTTTTATTATTTTTTATTGACAACAGCTTTTGTTACATTATTCCAACTGTAGCCTTTAGAGAGAGGCCTTTAACAATAAGAAATATCCACCAAGGGCAGTAAAGGGTCAACTCATGGCATCCAGGCACTGGAGCTTTGTCAAGCAACACTCCCAGTACACTTGGCCTCACCACCTCAGTCTCTGTGAGGGCATGTGAATCTTGCTTATTTTACTCAGAGGCCAATGCTCTCCTGGTGTCCTCTATCCCATCTGACTTACAATCTTTCTGCCTCCTCTTCC